AAACGTTAGGGAGACGAGAGGAGCTATCGATTAACGTTTCTTTGCGTTTCGGTTTGCACGTTTTTATGCACTTTAGATTTCTTCTTCATCCTCCGACATTTTCACCTTTGTCGCACACTTGCCGACTGACCGTCAGTTGCACGATTGCGCATAACATTAATCGCATACCTTTTTCGTGGATTAAATTCACCGAGCTCGTTCCATTAAAAGCTGAAACATTTTTTCGTAATTCACGAATGAAAACAATTGTTCCATCGCCCCGCATATCGTTTTTCGCTCCATTCTTCGCATTTCCATTCCCTTCTCGCGTACAATTGGTGTTTTATTCTGGAACCGCGACATTAGCATCAGTAACACACGAATTTTCGAGTGAAATCTATTCGGCTCTTATTATTAGGGGAAATGCATTAGCCTTGAATAATGCAGCAGCTTTGATACGGTGATGTACGAGCTTCTTAAAATTCCGTTGGAAAACTGTTGCTCCGCCACTCTCTTCTCTCTCCTTTTCCGTAGGGAAAAATAAACGGAGTTGCATCTAGTTTCGCGTAGAATGGAATGGAACGAGCATTCGACACGATTCTAAGGTGGCCGTGCAAGTGATCCGTTTAATTGATCGAGCTCTCTATCTATCTCTATTTGTGTGTACCTACGCAAATAATTGGAATAAATTTAGCGTTAATCGCGTACACAATCGCGGCAAAAGGAATTGGTGATGCGTGTGGGCAAGGATGACACTCGTGTTCAATTATTCTATCTGTACGACACTATGTTTGTTCCTTGGTTGGTTCGGATCAATCGCTTGCCTCGTTTCTTTCGTTCGTTTTTCGAATTGGAAAAAATTCGATCGTTCGCGAAACGTTATTTTTCCTGTCTGCCGCGTTAACGAATACACGGGAGAATACACGGGGGAGGGAGGGGATCGATCGGTGGAATCGTAAACGATGGTTCGACATGTTGGACGAAACGGCGTTAAATTCATCCGTTCAATGATATTTCATCGGTTTGAAGGAACGATAAAATACGCGTGAAAGAGAGAAAAGAGAACGAGAGTTTCGATTTGTCGGTTGTCATAAAAAAAAAAAATAAAAAAATCAACGTTCGAGACGTGCAGATCAACTGGTCGCTGATCGAAGACAGCGATAAACCATTCGCCGATGTTTCCGTAACTTCTATAATTGATTTAGCACCGGATCAAGAACGTAGTAATACGCGCAACTGCTTTATATCGCGGAAGGGATCCGTTTAAACTTAGTTTAATTAAACCGTGGATTTATTGGGCGCCGCTTGATACACGCGTACACACGAAGATACGGGTGCACTGTTCAGCGACAAGGGCCGCCATGCTCGATGTATACGTACCCGAATCTCGAGGCTTGGTCGGAGGGGGCATGGTCGAATGGAACGTTACACGTGTTTCTGACGTGCGTTTATGCGTCGCACACGGGTATATTGCATTATAATTATAGGGTACAATCCTCGAAACGGATATCGATATTATTTGTCATCGGTTGGGACAAATGAAATGATAATCCGAGTGGGATAATTGGAAAGAGAAACGATCGGCGAAGATATATTCCGGGTGTGAAAAATGATATAGAAAAGGATAAGAAGGGAACGAAATGTCGTGGAATTAGTCAGGACGGCATATTCAGTCAGGTGAATCGTAGTTTAACGAAGGACAGACAGGTCTTGCTAGCTCGTTGGAAATGGTAAATTGGCGTAGACGACAAGAGCGTAGTTAATTGAGATGAAGGAGTTGCCGGGGAAATTGGGTTGAAGTACGACGACCGGTTGTTTTGCGTCAGCTGTTGAGCACGGATGCCGGAATTTCTTCTGGCTGCTATCGATCACACGATACTGCGCAACACCATTTCTGCTCTGAAATAATTGTCTTTGAACGTATCTCGTCCTCTCGTCTTTGTAAAGGCGTAGAGGCGTTTGGACGGTGCAAAATTTTTGAAAAGTGGGAAAAGAGAGAGTTGGAGGAAAGTGGATTTGTGTGTTTAAATATTTATACAAAGGCGGGGCAAAGTTTGTGGCAGATGTAGAGAATTTTCGACAACTAATTATACGAAACTGCAAATATGGTTAGATCGATCGTAGAAGTTTCAATTACGTCGGGAGAGCGTAATGTACTCTGTTGCACCGTATTGGAGACGACGAAGCGTTTGCAGCAGATATCTTATTAGCGCGATGGTTACGTTCATTAAAGTTCGATGAACAATTAATCGGTCGTTATCTGTCGCATAAAGCGACCCCTCGTCCGTCTAATCGAAATGCTGACTACAGTCATTAATAACTTAATTGCAGAAGTGCGTCCCGTTCCCATTGTTCTCTGTATTCAAGCGCAAATAATTAGAATCGGCCAATTATCCAACGCTATCAAATTTACAAAGATAACAGATCGCGGAATCTTAGATCGCGAATTTATGAAATAATCGAACCGTTGGGGAAAAATTCACGAAATTGTTTGGAAATTATTTCCGGGTAAACGGATGACGTTGCGAGAAAATTTTTTAGCTAAATTATTAAAATATTATTGCATTAAAATGCAAAAAATCTGTTTAAAAAAAAAATGCTCGAGAAATTTTCGCGTGTTTGGCGCGCGAAAGAGCTTAATTAAAAGAATATAGCGCGAATAAAAGGGAAACAGGGGATATCTCCTCCCTAAGTGGGCATAAAGCAACGAATATTCTTTGTTGGACGCAATCCGGGGAAGGGAAAAAAATTTCCACGAACTTCTGCGAACCATCTGCAACCTGTCTGTGTGCGGTGGACACGGTGGTCTGTAATGAACAAAGAAAATGCAAGTCAGCGCACGAGGGTGGAAGTTGGTGGAAGGAAAGGGATGTGAGAGGTCGCCGCAGCTTTCGAGCGGACAGATGTTATCTTTGGACAGGCTGCTTTGTCACAATCCCTCCACCAGTGGCAAAAAGCCATCGCCTCGCCCTTCCTTCTTAATTACCCGTCACTCTTCCTGCGATCATTAGCCCCCTCATAATTAATAATCGAAGATGATCGATCGGCGTCGAG